GCCAAACAGGCTGACGCATTAATTATCGCTTGAGGGAGCACGCTCACTTTCTAAATGGCTCCGTTTCAAGCCACATGGCAGACCATCGTAAAACGTGTGGCTGTCAGCCAATTATTCACAAGTGTGTGATTATACAGACATATAAAAAGCAGCATGAGTGCGAGATTAGCGATATTTTACACATTCAACAATTTGGTGCTTCCTGTGTTAGGGTACTTTCGATTTTGAATGCGAAGCATTTCTTAGCGAATTTCGGCCACTTTGAGCGTATGTATCTATCTATCTATCTATCTATCTATCTATCTATCTATCTATCTATCTATCTATCTATCTATCTATCTATCTATCTATCTATCTATCTATCTATCTATCTATCTATCTATCTATCTATCTATCTATCTATCTATCTATCTATCTGTCTATCTGTCTGTCTGTCTGTCTGTATGTCTGTCTGTCTGTCTGTCTGTCTGTCTGTCTGTCTGTCTGTCTGTCTGTCTGTCTGTCTGTCTGTCTGTCTGTCTGTCTGTCTATCTATCTATCTATCTATCTATCTATCTATCTGGCCAACTATGACTTTTAGCTCTCCTGGCCGTTTTGATAATGGTATATATATCGAACTTGGTATGACATGACATTACTGTATGGCGCATGAGAAAAGTACAATATTGCAGAAAAAGCATATTTAAGAGAAGTGCACAATGCTAAGTATTCATTTTTTCACAGTGAACTGCCTAAAATCCTCGCTGATTCACCCGAGTGTTTTTGGCAAGTTTTAAACCCACATGACACCCTCCCCCTGTTATCCTTACTAATGAGTCTGGTGAAGACGCAGGTAGTTTTGAAAGTGCGAATATGTTTAATGAAGCCTTTCATTCGGTCTTTACGAATGAACCTAACTCTAATGATACGGAACTGTTCTCTGTTAGTCTGCCTGAAATGCCACCCATAACCATAAGAATCTCTGGTATCGTTTTTTCAATAGATAAATGAAATTGTAATCTTTTACTGGTACGGACGAAATATATACCAAGCTTTTAAAAAACACAAAGCACATATCTGCCAAATTTTTGCTGTTGCTGTTCTCCCAATCCCTGTCCACAGGAATTCTGCCTTACGACTGGAAGTGTGGGAAGGTCATTCCAGTTCACAAATTAGGTAACAGAGATTGTCCGCTAAACTACCGCCCCATATCACTAACCAGTGTGTTGTGCAAACTCATGGAACATATCATATACTCTCAAATCATGCGGTTCTTAGACTCCAACCGCTTTTTTAATTCGCTCACAGCATGGATTTCGAAAAGGCCGTTCATGCAAAACCCAATTAGCCCTTTTTCTTCATGACCTGCACACTAACTTCGATACTAACCTACGAACAGATGCTACCTTTCTTGACTTCACCAAGGCGTTTGACAAAGTACCCCACAGGCGCCTACTAATGAAGCTTTCTCAACTGAATCTACCACCCGACGTTCTAAACTTGATTGTCCAATTTCTGACTAACCGCTCCCAATTTGCTTCCCTTAACAATGTCCAGTCTAACTCGCTTCCTGTAACGTCCAGCGTACCACAGAGGTGTGCCCTCGGTTCACTTTTATTCGTAATATATATCAACAACTTGCCCAACAATTTACCACGCAACATTCGCTTGTTCGCTGACGACTGTGTTATCTACAAAAAATTATTAACACTTTTGTCGCAATCGCCCTACAGAATGACCTCAATAATGTGTTAAACTGGTGCAACCGCTGGCTAATGATCCTTATTGAAAAAAATGTAAATTATTTTCCTTTCACCGCCGCAAAAACCCACTCCTATTTTCCTATGAAATAGGTAACATAGCTGTCTAAACAAGTGACTCTAAGAAATACCTTGGCGTAACACTAACCCCTGATCTTTCCTGGCGCACGCACATTACTGATACCATTTTATCGGCCAATCAGTCATTAGGATCTTTAAAACGTCATCTGCGTCACTCACCCTATCACGTAAGACTTTTGACTTACCAATCACTAATACGACCGAAACTTGAGTACGCAACACCCATTTGGAGTCCTCACAAAATTTACTTAATAAACGCCATTGAAGCAGTGCAAAAACGTGCTGCGCGTTTCATTCATTCTTCCTATGATGTCAGTGTGTCATCCCTTAAAAATGAATCTGGGCTGACCACTCTTTCGTCTCACCACAGAATCGCTACACTATCACTTTACCACAAGCTTTATCACAGTTCTTTCAGCCAACTTCCTTACTTCACTCCCGCCCCGCGCATACCCCCCCCCCCCCGTACGGGCCATCCACTTCAAGTCTGCCGACCCCGTTCTAGCACCACTACCTTTTCTGCATCTTTTTCTGCCGCGCAGCTACAGAATGTAATGTCTTTCACCGCGACATCGTTTCTATCACGTGTCCATCACATTTTGTTCAAAGTGTATCTATGTACCTGTCTCGTTAATAAATTGTGGCATTAGTTACATCTCTGTACAACCCCCTCCCCCTTATGTAACACCCCCTTGAGGGGAATTTAGGGTAATCGAGTGAAGTGAAGTGAACATATTCGACTAGTCGAAACAAGAAAGTCATGTCATGTATGTGATAAATGTCATGGTCTTGCAGCTTTTGGGGTACCTTAGTTCACATGGCATGTTGCGAAACTGGTATGGTATGACAGGATTACAGTGCGAACACAAGCGACAGACCCTAACATGAAAATCATGACATGTGTGTCATGTAACATGACTACATGCCACGCTCACGATGCGCTCGCGGCCGTTTCGCTAACGTCGTATATACCAAATTTGGTATTACGCCATGTGAATGGACGACGAAGGTATGTGGCTAGTGCAAACATAATTATGAGATGCGTGTTGTGCACTTGCGCACAACTTCTTCACCACAACTGAATTTCCAACTCTGGGTGGCTAAACATTGCATCTGGTTTCTGGCTGCATGCAGTATAGTACATATTGCGTGCCAGCACTGTTCATTCATTGAAATAATTCTTGGTGTATGGCTGTGAAATTGGTGGCCTCGAAATCAAGTGGCAGATGTTTATACCAGCAATGAAATTGCCACTGATACATACTGTCAAACATTGGACTCTGGTGCAGCAAGGCATAATCTACTGTGATTTTGCTAGAATAACGCAGGAAATCTAAATTGGCACATTTGTGCGCAGTAGCAGCATCACTCGTTGAGGAATTGGAGGGGGTGCTTTTATATTATAAAAACCAAAACTTGGGAATTCAGATGAATTGTTCCTTGAAATTTTACATTTTCTTTCTGACTCTCCACGAGCAAATTTTCAAAACAAATTGAAAAGTATTGTTAGGCTTACAAAGCAAGAAAAAACAAAAAAAAGTAACTCAGACCTCATTTTATTGTCTGCCAAGCTAATCCTGCTAGTAGCAACATAATCACCACCACCACTTTCTTTGCTGCGAAGTAATTAACATAAATGTTGATGCCAATTTTATTTAGTCGTATTGATGTCATTAAGCTGTTCAACGTCGCTGCTCATTTTATCTAATGCAGCTAGCAAGTTACACAAGCCTTGTCTAGCCTACTAACCTCCTATATTGAGAACTGCCCTTAGCTACAATGGGACATGCTCCACATAACGGCCACGTTGAACCCACGGCAGGCTTCAGTAGTTCGCATTGTTTTAAGTGCACCGTAAAGACGCGGTTATGCAAAATGGTGGGACATGTGCTACGTGTATGAACCATTTAGCTCACACTGCACAAGTTTGGCATGCAGGCCCACAAAATTAGCCTTGGTGACAGGCAGGCACTTTTCTAAATGATACCCATGACACAGGCAGATGACATAGGCTACCGTAATGTTGCAGTAACCTTACACAAGTTGCACATCAAAAGATTGCCAGTACTCTACTATGTGTAAAGAACGAGTGACGTGCCTCGCACTCACGGGTAGCGGTTACATACTCTCCCTTTTATTAGACGTTCCACAATTATATACAATCACAAGGACCCAGTGTTGCCAACTCAAACACAGAAACCGAAAATACTATATACAGGATACAACATTTTCCCTCCCTCATTTATTTTTTTTTATTTTGGGAAGGTGTTAGTACAGGTTAATCGCACACAGTTTATATGTGGAACGAGAAATACACAACATCGGCTGCTGACCCGTAGGTCGCGGATTCAAATCCCGGCTGTGGCGGCTGCATTTCCGATGGAGGCGGAAATGTTGTAGGCCCGTGTACTCAGATTTGGGTGCACGTTAAAGAACGCCAGGTGGTCAAAATTTCCGGAGCCCTCCACTACGGCGTCTCTCATAATCATATGGTGGTTTTGGGACGTTAAACCCCACAAATCAATCGAGAAATACACAACAAGAAACACACATCAATATATACACACAAAATTATCTATACACATCAGAATATTGAATACACTAGGTAACGGGAACACCAACTAAGCAATATTTACACATTCACACTTTATAACCATATCTGTCCGGTCGCCGTCTCTCTCGGTGCGGCTGAATGCGACGACAAGGTGGGCACGAACTCACAGGTTCTTCTGTAGTGTTCACAGGCGGGCGTGAAACAGTTTCTGAAGCAGGAAACTGTCCGGCGGCTGGTCTCGTTGGCGAGCGGAAATCGTAATCTGCACTAGGCACAGGTTTCGCTGCGGGAGCACTTGCCTCGGCGGACGCTGGCTGCCATGTTGCAGCGAGAAGCGTTGTGTCACCGGGATCGTGATGGAACGAATATTCACGCCCTGCAGAATGTTGCTGAAGGCCATTGTCGCCAGGGCGCCGAGCAGGCACCTTGCACAGCTTTGCCTCGTTCCATGTTTTGCCGTCGTCGAGAATGAAGGATGCTGGGCCGCATTGCTCGATGACTTTCCTTGGCTTCGAGAAAGAGATGTCACCTTTGAATGAAACCGATGGTTTCTTCACCCGCACCATGTCTTCTACTGCCACTGTTGTCGGTTTTGCCGCTCGCCTCCTGTCGGTGTAGGCTTTGCTTTACTCTTGCCTGCGCTTGACACGTTGCCGCAGCCTGGCCAGCTCCTGGTAGGGTGCCTTTGCGAAGGACTTGGGCAATAAGCCGAAGATGTCAAGCTTCATTCTTGGCAGCCTTCCATGTAAAAGTACCGCAGGGGCCACTCCTGTTGTGGCGTGTGGTGTACACCTGTATGCGGCGAGGTAATCCCGTACAGCAGTTCGCAGTGGACGTTGTTCTAGACGGGCCAGTTGTAGGTAAGTCTTGAACGTGTGGTTGAATCGCTCGATCTGTCCGTTTGCCTGCGGGTAATAAACAGATGAGTGCGACAGGCGGATCTCTTGTTCTTGTAGGAAGTTGTCAAATTCCTTTGACGTGAATTGGGGCCCATTATCACTGACTATCGCTTCAGGATAGCCTTCCCGTGCAAATACGTTGAGCAGGAACTCGGCCATGGTTCTTGTAGAAGTTTTTCTTGAAAACTGTACTTCTGGCCATTTGTAGAAGTAATCTACAAGTGTCAGCACAAATCTGCAATCTGGAGGCGCCGTCTCCAGCGGACTAATGATATCAATTGCAAGTTTCTGCCATGGTCTCTCTGGTAGCTCGACAGGTTGCAGCGGGGCAGGCGACGTCTTTGCCGATTTATCTGCTGCTTCACAGGTGCTACAATTGTGGACTGCTTCTTCCACGTGACTATTCATGCGGGGCACCAAAGATAGACTTAGGGAGCAATTGTAGCCCCAAAATTGCTCCCTAAGTCTGGCTTTGGTGCGTCCGATACCCTGCTGAGTTTCATGTGCTGTTGCCACAAGTCAAGCCACAAGAGATGATGAAACTACAAGCCTCTCTGCACGCAAAAACAATTCGCTCACCACTGACAATTCGTCTCGAACTCTGAAATATGGTTCCAGACCTTCCGGCAAGTCTGTGTGTGACGGCCAAGACCCATTTACAAACTCCTTCACCTTTTGAAGAGTGGCGTCAGCAAGAACCACTTGTTCAAACTGCTCTTTGGTCAGGCAACTTGGTTGAACCATGGAAACAATTTCCTTCTCAAAAGTCAGCTCTCCATCGGCCATATGAATGGGTAACCGCAAAAGAGCATCGGCTACTCTGTTAGATGAGCCTTTCTGGTACTCCACCGTAAAATTGTAACGTAGTAGCCTTGTGCACCAACGTGCAATTCTAAGTGGGCGTCGGCCTGAGCCCTGCGAATACAGAAGCGAAACGAGGGCCTGGTGGTCTCTTCGAAGAGTGAAGCTCCATCCCCACAGATCTGCATCCCAATGCTCGCATGCCCAAATGCATGCAACTGCTTCCTTTTCGCCAACTGCGTACTTTCTTTCAGCCGGAGATAGCGTGCGTGATGCAAAAGCAACAGCACAAAGCTTATTATCGGCGTGCTGCTGAAGGACAGCTCCAAGACCACATTCGGATGCATCAGTGTAAATGATAATTGGAAGCGCAGGATCAAACATGTGCAAGACAAGATCTGACAATAATACCTCCTTTACCGCGCGGAAACTGTTATCCACCTCAAAAGACCAGGTGAAGGTTTCGCCTTTCCTAAGGTGAGCCCTCATTGGTTCTATTATCTCGGCCAAGTGTGGCACAAACTTGGCCTAGTATTCCACCAACCCAAGAAAGGAGCGGAGTTCAGCGGCATTTCTTGGAACTGGGGTTTCCACAATTGCGTCCACTTTCCCCGACAGTGGCGAAATACCGCTATGTGTCACCTTGTGGCCCAAGAATTCGAGCTCCTGAACTCCAAACACACATTTGTTCTTGAGCTTCAGACCTGCGTCTTTGATACGCTGCAACACTGCCTCCAAGTTCTTGAGGTGCTCCTCTGCTGATTTACCGAAAATAATTACATCGTCGATGTAAAAGAGGACACCCGTACAATTGCGAAGGATTCGAAACATCATACTCTGAAAAGCAGCAGGTGCTGAGGCTAGCCCAAAACAAACGCATTTGAACCGGTACAGCCCTTCATGTGTTATAAAAACTGTCAAGTCTCTGCTCTCAGAGTGCGGTTGTGTGTCAAATAAGGCACACAACCGCACTCTTTACAGTGGATCGCCAAGTAACCATATGAACCCTTCTGCACTTTATTCTGGGGCTCTTTTAGCCTCTCATTAATGGATCTTTCAGTTCTTCCCACATAAGCAAGGACCACATGACAAGGGCACTCTGTAAACAAGCGACTGTGTACACTCAACATATTTATTACGATGCTTAATTTGGCATCCTTTCTTTTCTTTTCAAGCAGGGCAAGTTTTGTGACATATTCTGGACAGTTTTTCAGGAGCAGACATGACCACTCGGACGCCCACCTTATTACCAATCTTTTTAAGATTGTGTGCCACACTATAGATATAGGGGACAACAGCAGTTTTACGCCACTGCAGGGAAGTGTTAATACGCTGCCTACTTTGCTTCTTTGGGTCCCTATGTAGCGATTCAGCGACGCTTATAACCATTCGTTGCGGGTAACCTGCGGCCTTCAGTCGCAAAACCTGTTGCTCAAAGCTCTTCTACGTGAGGTGAAAACAGGACTTCTTCAACGAAATAGAAAGCCACATTCGTGCAACAGACCTCTTCACTACTTTGGTATGGGCAGAAGAGAAAGGCAAAAGTGGCTTTTTGTTCCTGGGCTCATAATTCCAACAAACGTGGTCATCTTGAAATTGCAACGAAAGATCTAGGAACTTGAACGTATCACCATAGGGCACTTCATGTGTTAGTTTGGGAGGCTGACAAACTGTCTGAAACACTACAAGTGTCAAAACAGCAACACTTTGGAACTCTTTGGCATCACACTTACAAAACCTAATAATCATCCACAAACCTAAAGATCTTTAAAACCTTAGTTCCCGACAGCCTCTCATCAATTATTCGATCTAAGTGGGCCATAAATATATCACTAAGGACGGGTGCAATAGCCGAACCAATACAAATACCCTGTTTTGGATATAGGTGTTCTCATTCCAGTTAACGAATGTGGACGTTAAGAACAAAGCCAGTAAATCCAGAAAACCTCTCACTGACATACCACAAGTGTTCTGAAGGGTCACTGCACCACGCGCAAGTATGCACTGTTCGACAAATTCTAAAAGCATTTCATAAGGTAAAGAGTAGTACAAATCTTTCACATCTATGGACAACGCCTTAACGACAGTTTTGGCATACGATACCAAAAAATTTACAATCTGCTCCGAATTCTTGGTGTGAACTGGGTGAAATTTGGTTTCTGGGCATTTTTGACAGCAATTCATTGTTAGCAGCAATTAAGTAAAACGTTTGTCTTTAAGCTTAGGCATAGAAACAAACCAGAAGCGATCAATGTAGTCTTGAAATTCATCCAGTTTCGCTCTTTCGAGGGAGGTGCAGCCTAGTTTAGTGCGAGCTTCACCAATTATTTGATTGAGATTCGACCAACAGGTTTTGGCGCCACAGTGCATTTTCAGCTAAATTACTCCAGTTACTTCGATAAAAGGCGGCAAGTAGAGACAACAATGCCATTGCAAAGACATTGTAGATAGAGGGCTGCTTCTTTTTTTAATTTTTTGGGTGCTTTGGTTGAATGCTTTGCTTTTTGTGGTATAGTTCATCAGTCTAGTTAACATAGGCATTAAAAACTGACATTAACCTTGTTGAGCCTAATTGTTTGTTTATTATTATGGTAGCCTTTGCGAAAATTGTGACTTCAAGTTCAATTGTTCTCTTGAAGATTTTATCCTGCATAGTGATATTCCAGACTCTTAGTCAATTTTGCTATAAAAAGGGTGATTTCATGTCGTGTCACTTTTTATAGAGTAATTCAGTTTTACTGCATCTTTTACATTCTTAATAGAGTAGTTATTCTAAATATTGGTATTTGAAATGTTATGAGCTCACTGTATGTACTAAGGCGTAAGCGGTTACAGATAGCACATACACTTAACTCTTCTGTTGGCAGTTAATTTCTCTTATTCCTGCTCCCTTTTTTCTTTGTCGGTGGGCTTTTGTAGTTTGGCTTGTACAGATTTGTGATGGCAGCTACAACGTCCTGCTTGCTTTCATAGTGAATTTTCGCCGTCAAAAATTTTAGAGTTTCGCGTCACAACGTCGTCCAAAAAGCCATTTTGAACACAATCTATAAAGCTAGGCAACAATGTACAGTATGGTACACTGGTAAAGGGAACACTCGAATGCACACCTTCAGTATTCCTGGCCCCTTCAGAGCAAGTAGATTAATAAACAATCTTCATGCAAGTCTGTCTAGAGGAGTCGGAACTTTTAACCACCTTATACATATAAAAGAAGATTGAAGCTTCCCAAAGTGCTGCTCTTGCCGAGCATCCACGCCGGGCATCACAGAAATAGACCCTCCCATCTAAGCCGCTATGATTCCGTAAGATAGTGAAATGTAAACATGCTGCTCACTCAGGTGTTCCTTTTAAAGTGGACCCGTCTGTACATGTACGCATTAATCAATGTACAGTGTAAATCTTTATGAAAGGTAACACATGAACGTGCGGTCCGAGGGCTCTGGCGGCTGTTTGTAGCGCGTTTAAGCGGGATCGGTAGCAACCACAGCCTCTATTCTCGTCATCTAGTGGCGAGCCAATGGGTGTAATCGACTTGAAGGGGGAAGGGTGCAATTGTGACCCCAGTTCCATATCACCAATGACTGGTTGTTTTGGTCGCCACTTGATGACAGGAATAGAGGCCTTGGTTGCCATGGCTCCCACTTGATCGCACTTCAAGCAGCCGCCAAAGTGCTCGGGCAATGCATTCACGTGTATCCTTTCATAAGATTTTACATTGTACATTGAAGGCTTTTATAGGCAGTTCCTGAAGTTTCAGTGTGGGCAGCATTTCATTCACGATTTTATAACAACTTTTCACTAGATTTATTGTACGGTTGAAAGTCGTAAGAACAACCTAGTTATCATTTATGTGAGAAGTTTGCTGTTTTTTTTACATGTAGCAGAGCTCATTTGTGCACTTGTTCTAAGATTCACATATGCATAACATATGAAAGCACTAAGCGGATTATGGGTGGTGCTTATTACGGCGGGCCACTTGGTGTACCAAGCTGAGCTCTGCCCAACATTGCGATAATGCTGGGAAGCAGTAAGCAGATGAAGGGTGGGTTTGTAATGGCGGGCAATATATGCGGTGTGCTAAGCTGGGATCTGTACACTATATATTCTACCACCATGATTTTCACCAAAGCTTAGGTCTACCGAACGAGCCAGTACATTTGTATTATTCGCGCTTCTGATTTCAGAATACACTCTAAAGAAGCCATGTTACACTTTAGTTGAGCGCACTCCAAGTTTCTTAAGGGAGGAATTGCCAAAGCATGTATGATGGCATCATCGTCAAGCTCCAGTCACCACCAGGTTCAGAGCAGTTTTGGCAACCAGGTTAACAGACTTAAAAAAGCAGACTTTCCTGATCA